CACCGCTCATCATCAGGGTACTCAAACACTCCAAGGGCAAAGAAAGGCAAGGTTCCCAGAAAATAATTATTTTGTCAACAGAGCCACAAGCCCCTCCACAACAGGGAAATTCTAAAGACCTCAGGATGTGGTCAGCCTGCCCTGAAGGAGTGTGGTTCTAGGAGAGTTCGGGTTGAGGACATTGTCACTTCTGAGGAAAGGGGTTCTTAGACCTGATACCACCCATGTGAATGAGATGGTGCTGCAAAAATAATATTATCTTGATATTAGAATCTCCACACATACGTACAAATGAAAAGAACCAGGATTCCTGATCGGGTACTGACACAGCCTGAGGAACACCAATGGCCACTTACAAAACGTTTGAAAGAAGTGACAGTGTCTACGGAAGTCCTGACCTGTTGGCCGCAGTGAAGAAGCATAACAACATGGACCTGCTTGAATGGGTTCTAGAAGGCAGAGAAACATCCCAGTGACTCATTCACTAAAACTCATCAGCCTCTGCTGTGAATGAAAGAGCCAACAAAATCCAGTCCTTGGTTCCGAGGAACTTAATTGCAAGAGGTATTCTGGTAAATCCCTTGTAGGTGCTTGGTAATCATGAACAAAGTACCACTGTCACATGTAATTAGTAATCAGTTCAGAATGCATTCATGTGTCATAAGAAAATGAAGGAAGCCTGAGGGAATGTGTCCTTATTCTCAAATTAATGTGGAGAGTGAAAAATATTCTAATGAAACCTTCTAATAACCAAAATACCTTGGGATTTTTTATCATGTTGTCATGGACTGAAGTTTGGTTTGTACCAAATATTAACATGTTGAGACAATATCCCCCAATATGATACCTTAGGAGGTGGAGTCTTTGGGAGGTAAGTAGGATCAAATGAATTTAAAAAGGTGGAGCCCCAGTGATGGGATTAATGTCTTTATGACAGTCACTACTATCTTCCTCCCTACACTCTCCACCATTAGAGGACACAAAGAGAAGACACCTGTCAGCAACCCAGACGAGGGCTCTCAACAAAACTCAGTCATTCTGGCACCCTGAACTTTAGACTTCCAGTCTCCAGAATTATGACAAATTTGTTGTTTATGAGGCTCCTGTTCTACAGTACTTCTCTATAGCAGCCTGTACTGAGACATGTGGCATCATTCATTTAGCACCTATGACACACTAGTTGACAGTCAAGGTCAAATCATACGTGACAGAGAAAATGTCATGTATAATTATTCTCATTCCTTTTCTTTAAAAGAAGATCGAATATTTGTGCTCACAAGTAAAAAGCATTGATGCAGAATCAAAGAAAAAGGGAAGGGTAGCCCCATGTAAAAGGCATAGTGTATTAATAAACAAGTCAGAGATAGATCTCGGGTGAAGATGGAGGCATAGGTAAGCACACTTCACCTCCAAGCACAACTAGAGCAAAAATTACTACTAGACTACTAGACAAATATCAGCCAGATTTGCCATAAAATCGAGCTGTATGAAAGTCCAATAAGGAAGGATTTAAGGAAGCCACACTCATCGAGATGGATAGGAGGGCCAGAGACATGGAGAGGCAAGGAGAGGTGAAGAGGGGTGGAGAGGCACTGAGACATGGCGTGGTGTGGACAGGTGGTGGAATTGGTGGTCCCACCAGGGCTATTATGGAAGGCTCTTTCCCCCAGAAAATACAGGGTACTTTTCCACAATAGGCCACACTACTAAAACAGGAAGTCAAAGCAGCTCTACCTAGTACACACAAACAAACAGGGAGGCTGCCAAAATGAGGAGACAAAGAAATATGGCCCAAATGAGAGAACAGAATAAAACTCTAGGAAAAGAACTAAATGAAATGGAAATAAGCAACCTATCAGATGCAGAGTTCAAACCACTGAGTGTCAGGATGCTCAGGGAAATCACTGGATGCTACAACAGCATAAAAAAGACACAGGCAGAAATGAAGGTTGCACTAAGTGAAATAAAGAAAATTCTACAGAGATCCAACAATCAGTGGAGGGGATGAAGCCAAAAATCAAATCAATGGTTTGGAACATAAGGAAGAAAAAAGCATTCAATCACAAGAGTAAGAAGAAAAAACAATTCAAAAAAAGAGGATAAAATAATGAGCATCTGGGAAATCTCCACATGTACCAACATCTGAATAGTAGGGTTTCCAGAAGGGGAAGAGGATGAGCAAGAAACTGTTGGGAACCGCCCTGACTGGTATCAGAGGCTGAAACCCCCGCCAAGCTAAGGCTAAGGGAACGCCCTTGGAACTGTAAGCCAGCAAGGAGACAAAAGCTTATCTTCCTGGCAGGAATGCTGCTTCTGCTGCTGAACCCCCAAAAGCTTGGTCGGTTAGCCAAAGACGGGTAAGATTCCCCACGGGGGGAATGACCTAAGCCAGGCACGATCACTTTGGGAGGCCCCCCCAAAAGAAGGACTTGGGGGGCTGCAGCAAAAGGGGGTGATGGACCCTCGCTCCTCGGCTTTGACATAGCCTGAGTTCTCAGCGTCTGGGAGAAAATCTCCTTATCTCTTGGTTGCCTTAGTTCCCTTGCTCCACCTAAGCCTGAAACAATGACAGGGTGGTGCAGCTCGGTACTGAGAAGTGCGGATTTCCTGGGGTGATCAGGCCTAAGAAAGAATATGTAAATTACTGTGAAACCTTCTTTGTTTAGAATGCTCTCAGTTGAATGAGAAGGGTCTTAGGAGGAAGTTAGTTTGTTCCTCAGTCTTACAGCTCTTTGACCCCCCAACTCAATAGACCGGCACAGTTCTTTGTTTTCTATAGTTCCTTACTTCCCCCTAATATGTACTGTACTTTGCCTGAATTATTATGCAGAATGAGCCTCATAAAAGCAGGTATGGACGGTAAATCGGCGCGCTCCCCACTAGGGGGGGTGGCCATTTCGTCCCTACTTCCCCACAGAAACTAGTTTGTCTCTGTGCATGTTGTTATTTCTCGCATGTTTTGTCGAGCCATCCACAGCGTTCCGTGGTCACTGCTGGCCGGTGACCCACGCGCAACAGAAACGGAAAACTTATTTAAAAAAATAATCAAAGAGGCCCTGGCAGGTGTAGCTCAGTGGATTGAGCGCAGGCTGCGAACCAGGCATCCCAGGTTCGATTCCCAGTCAGGGCACATGCCTAGGTTGCAGGCCATGGGCCTCAGTAACCACACATTGATGTTTCTCTCTCTCTCTCTCTCTCTCTCTCTCTCTTTCTCTCTCGCCCTTCCTCCCTCCCTTCCCTTTCTAAAAAATAAATAAATAAAATCTTTAAAAAATTACATCAAACTGACATATTGGAAAAAAAAATAATCAAAGAAAATGTTCCAAGTTGGTGAAGCAAATAGACATACAAGTCCAGGAATACAAACAGTCCCAAGCAAGATGGATTCAAAGAGACCCATGTGAAGACACATCATAATTAAAATGCCAAATGTAAAAGACAAAGAGGGAATCTTAAAAGTAGCAAGAGAAAAGCAGAGAGTTACCCACAAACGAGTTCCCATAAGGCTCTAGGCTAATTTCTCAAAGGAAACTTTGCAGGCTAGGAGGGACTGACAAGAAGTATTCAGAGTGATGAAAAGCAAGGACCTAGAACCTAGATTACTCTATCCAGTAAACCTATCTGGTTTAGAATGGAAGGGCAGATACAAGTGCTTCTTACACAAGGTGAAGCTCAAGGAGTTCATCATCACCAAGCCTTTATTATAGGAAATGTTAAAGGGACTGCACAAGAAAAAAACAGTCAAAACTATCAGCATTAAAATAGCAACAAATTCACAAATATCAACAACTGAATCTGAAAAAATAAGTTAAGCACACAACCAAAGCAGGAAGAGAATCATAGTTATGGAGATTATTTGGAGGGTTTTTGGAGAGAGAGAGAGGTGGCCAGAGAGAGATAGAAAGAGAAACATCAATTTGTTGTTCCACTTACTTATGCATTCATTGGCTGCTTCTTGTATGTGCCTTGAGCAGGGGGCAAACCTGCAATGTTGGCTTATGGGGACAATACTGTCACCAAATGGACAAGAGGACCAGGGCCTCCTATCAACTTGTTAGTGAAGCCAAAGAGCTTAGCTGATTTCAGGGCCTAATTATTTATATTGCCTATCATCTTGAAATAGACCAGACAGGTGATATTTTTTAAAATTTAATCTACTCATGGAAAAATATTCTGAAAGCAGTAGGCCATTTTTGTCTGGATTCTTAGTTAACCTAAATCCACTTTAATGTAAAACTTGGTATGAAATAGCTATAACATGGGCAGATATGGAAACCAATGACTCACTGGTGAAACAAGACTCATAAATGTTTAAAAACAATGTTTATTTTATACTTGGTAACATGATCTCAAGATCTGTTTCTTAACAATGTATTTTTATACATGTTTAAAATTATCATAAATTTTCACGCATATGAAGACAATATAGGGTGTGTTAGATATGAAAGAAAAAGCCCTCTCAATTTGGTATTTGACTTTACTGAAGAGCTTATTTACCATACATGGTCTGGTAAGTACCTAACAAAATACACAAAGCCACAAGGCTGAGGGAGCCTGGTAGCCTAGGTAAAGATGGCAAAAATGTTGTCCAGATTGAAGACCAAATTTTGCTTTTAATACAAAGAAGAGTAAAAATTGGTCATGAGTATGTGCATGGGTGTGAGTATTTAACACCTAAATGCACTTCTGACTTTGGGACAATGATGCTTCTCACTTGACTGTTAAGTATCCCTTTGAACTGACACATGTCTACTTCCGTGACAAAATTCAAATGGCAAAATTAACAGTGTAGATTGATGACATCTTCTTAAACCACTTGGAGAGCTCATGAATGAAAACAAAAAAGGAAGTAAAAGTGTAAAGAAATGTTTAGAAAATGAAAATTACGGTGTCTCCCTATTTAATGGTTGTGCTTAGAGAGAAGGTCATAGGCTAATTAGGGTCCAAGGTTGTTCACCAGACGCCCAGCTCAGCCAGGACAACAGACAACTCCTGTGCCCATGGCCCTCCCACTGTCTCTGCTCACCGTCCTGGTGGTGTTCAGCTGTGGCCTCAGTGGAGCTCTGGACTGTGTCCTACCTCAGAACCACATCCTGCTCAGCAGGGACAACTTGATGCTTTTGAGGCAAATGCAGAGAATCTCCACTTTGTCCTGTCTGAAGGACACAAAAGACTTCAGGTTCCCTCGGGCAATGGTAAACAGCAGCCAGGTCCAGGAGGCCCAGGCCATCTCTGTCCTCCACGGGATGCTCCAGGACATCTCCGACCTCTTGCTCACAGAGCACGCCTCTGCTGCCTGGAACACCACCCTCCTGAACCAGCTGCGCATGGGACTCTATCAGCAACTGGAAGACCTGGAGCCCTGTTTGCTGCAGGAGATGGGAGAGGGAGGAACTGCCCTGGCATCCCAGGGACCTACACTGGCTGTGAGGAGGTACTTCTGGGGCATTTTTCTCTACTTGAAAGAGAAGCAGTACAGTGACTGTGCCTGGGAGGTTGTCCGAGTGGAAATCATGAGATCCTTGTCTTCAGTAATAACCTTGCAAGAAAGGTTAAGTAACATGGACTGAGACCTGTGGTCACCTTCATCCAGGTGTCATGGATGAATGTGCCTGATCTCCCCTGCACATAGGACTCAGGTCATGGGGAAAGGCTCTTCTTTCTGCTTCAGTCAAAGAATTTATTGATGTTAATTGAGCACATCTTTTGTCAGAGTTGTCTGCAAGAAATTGTTACATAATTCAGCTCCTGGGCCATCAGTCCCTAAGGGATGACTGCCCTTATGTTATTCATTTATTGCTTCTGTGTTTATTTATTATGTATTTATTCTTTTATCACAGTTAAATAATTTTTGCCCTTATGTCATATTAAAATTTACAAATCATGTTTATTTTTATGTTGTGATATTTGCATTTGCTTTAATAATTACATTCTTATAAAAAATTTTTCTTGTGTTTTTATTATAAAAATTAAAATCTTTATTTATTTTCTATATACATCTATCTCAGAATAGTTCCTGTGTCATAAAATACATATCAAAAGGTGGAAATCCATGGACTTGGGAAGAGTCCTAGAATATGTGGAGTACGATCAGTACTTTTGTCTGAGCTGTACCTGATTCATATTCAGTCCACAGGGGGCGGTGGGTAGAAATGCCTGAGAGGAGTCATCTAGAATGAAGTGGGAAAGATACACGGTGTTTACTGGCTGATCCTGGCACCTGGTACTCCTCCTCCCACCCTCTCCCTGGTCCTGCTTCACTGATTGCATTCACTCCCATATGCTGTCCCTTCACTCCCCCCACCTTACTGCCCACACCCACAGGTGCTGTGGTTCTCTTGCAGTCTCAGCTTCATGGTTTCATTAAGGGTAAAAAGCCACAGGGATAGAACAAAAGTTGAGTGGAAGCTCTGTGTTCTTCAAAACTGCTGTAGCCAGGTCTGTTTCTTTGAGTGTCCTGATGCATATTTTTGTGCCCCGAGTGAGGGCCATTGTTACAATGATGAAATACGTGCTGACATAAAAGGAATCATCTCAATTCAGTGTACTGTGTGGGTTGTGTGAATTTCTCAGACAGAAGAGAGAGATATCAATTTGACAGGATGTCTTGAATCATTGCCTCAGGTGACCTGGTCAATGCATTAGTTTGCTTTTCTATATATTGTGCATAACATTTTAATAAATTTTTGTCCTTTATCTTTCTCCTTATTATGCTTCTTCTTGGTGGACAGTTTCAGCAGAAGAGAAGCTTGGCAATTCTGGACTTTCATACACCTTCCTTTGACTGTCCTTCACCTCTGAAATATCATGACTGTATCTGTACAGGGAGCTGAGGAAGATGCACTATATACTGGGCTGACTAAAGGGTTTGTTTGCTTTAGTCAACCTCCAGCTATGTTTTAAGGCAAGTTTCAGCATGGCTGGCTGTGGATTCAGACAAGTTGATACATAAAATTAACCGCCACAAAAACTGCCCTGGAAAAAGGATGTCCAGATTCTCTGCAGCCTCTTTAGTTCTTGTGAACAGTGAAATCGCTGGAACGTCAGGAACCCAGACTCTGGTGTCAGAAGGCCTAGCTTCTAAAATGCTGCTACTGTCTTGAAAAAGTCCATCTACCTGTGCCTCTGTTTTCTTCTTCCTAAAATGGGGATGGTGGTAGGAACGGTTTCTGTCTACTTTGTTAATTCACATGCACTAAGGAGGGTGGAACAAGATTGACACATGAAAGTGCTTGACCAACACCTGTTTTTAGGCTGCATGTACTCAAAGGGGTGTTCAGAGGGATGGGTTCCAGTATTAATTAACATGTTCATCATCAGACCCACACCAGAGTAGGTGCTCAATAATGTCATTCTCACTTTTAATACGGTGATAATTTTCCAGCTGTATCATCCTCAGTATTACTGAGATTGAGGTAAATCAAGTTTCTGAATGATTTCATTAATCATATGAAATCAATCATATGAAAATAGATAACATCCATGATTTTGCCAGTTAGAATTCAAATTGGCTGATCTTATTTAAAGTGAGCCCCTTGTTAGTGGCTGGGCATGATTCCACCTGAGTGTTCACAAACTGATGACATCTGGCAGGAAAAAATAAAAGAATGGTCATGTGGCTGGTTTTGCTGAGCTGGCAGTTGGCCATTGGATGAGAATTACTTTCCTTTAAGACCCTGTCAGAGCAATCAGCTTCTGTCCTTTCTTCATTCTACTGTGCCCTTGATCCTTTCCTTTGCTACAAGTTTTCTTGCATTAAATTCAGATAAATTATATTTTGTCATTTTGTCAATCAAAAGTCAGCCTTTTTGTTCTATTTAGGCCTGAAAACTGGTTAGATCAGGGCTACTCATATCAGGGAGGAAAGCCTACTTTACCTGGTCCACCCACTGAAGTGTCATCTCACCACAATACACCCTCACAGACACACTCAGAATGATCTTTACAAGGATCTGGGTACCTCATAGTCCTGTCAAATTGACACATAAAATTAACCACCACAAGGATCTGAGATGAAATGCTGAGAACTTCATTGCTCGTATTGCTAAAGCTGAATATTTGTCATCCCAGGTAGTCTGAGTTTGGTTACATCATTTCAACCTGACATAAAATCATGTGAGAACATTCTGTGGAACACCATATGAGTGATGAAAGGGTTTAAAGTAAACTTTGTTTTGGTCACAAAGTGCTTCCCTTCTGCAGGAAAGGAATAGCACAGGGGTTGCATACAACATTTTGGCAATTAAGAACAGCCACGATGTCTACATTGTGTGAAATCATGTGGGTCTGTGGGGAAACCATGACCCATGCCCCCAAGCTGGATGTGTGTTGTCAGGACAGATCGAGTGCCCACAAATCACCCCTATTAAAGCCCTGAATTCACACACAGACTCTGCCCTGTTCACCTTGTGCCTCGCTCCTTTCCATAATTTGCTTATTTTTCTAAAACACAGGTCGTACATCTGCACTACAAGGTCTGTTTAGTCCCCAGCCTCCCTCTTCCCCAAGCAAGTTTATAGTTGGAGTAGTATCTGCACATTAAGTCCAGAAACATGGACAGTGTGGACTTTGTCCAAGTGTAGCATCACCCACATGCCCAGCACTGAGCCAGGCCTACAGGAGAGAGGAGACTACAGCTCCTTCCACCCTGCTTGGCCTCGGGTTCTTCCTGTTCTATGAAGAGGAGTGAAAAAGAATGGCTCCTAGTCCATTTTGTGCCCAAATCCGACTCTGGATTATTCTTAACATAAGAGGCCTTTGGGCAGAGCTGTCCTCTGAACCCTGGGCCTCTATGTTGTCTTTTGAGACACAGCTTAGAAAATAAGTTTTTTAAGACCTGTGTAACCATCTGAAAACTGCCATGTATGTGGAGGTCAGTAATTATTCCACAGCACCCCTAATTGTGTTTAACTGGACACTATGTGCAGCTTGTCATATTTTCATGGCATTGTTTATTGGGTGAAGAATATGATTCTGTAGCCAGGGCTATGGGCTGTACCATAACTCTAATTAAGAGCAGTGTGAGCTTGACAAATAACATAAACTCTTATTCCTCTGTGTTTTATCATCTTTCATATGAGGACAATAGTAGCATTGTTTCATAGGAATTTTGTCAGCATTAATGGGTAAATACACACAAAAAGCATAACAGTGTGGCTGGCAAAAGTAATCAAGATAGAGGGGGCTATCTGCAGAGAAGAGGCAGAAGAGCTGGCTGAGGGAGTGACTGGAAGGCAACAGCAGGGAGCTTTTGATGTCCTGGGCAGAACTATTATTGTTGGGAACCGCCCTGCCTGGTTTCAGAAGTTCTAATCCCCCCTTGGCTAAGGCTGAGTGAGTGACCTTCACATGATAAGCCACTAAGGAGACAAAGCTTATCTCCCTGGCAGAGGCACCACCTCTGCTCCTTTTACTTCACCCTGCCTGGCCCCCAGTGTTTGATCGGTTAGCCAATGACGGGTAGGATTCCTCAAGGGAGGGACGACCTAAGACAGGCATGATCACGGGGCCCCCCAGGGAAGGACTTGGGGGCCCCAGAAAAGGGATGATGGACCCTGGCTCCTTGGCTTTGACAAAGCCTGAGTCCTCATTATGTCTGCAACAAGTCTCCTAATCTCTTGGCTGCCTTACTTCCTCTACCTGACTTAAGCCTGAAACAATGCTGGTGGTGGGTGCCACCCTGTGCTGGAAAGGGCGGGTTCCCTAGGGTGATTAGACCTAAGAAAGAATATGTAAAATCCTGTGAAACCTGCTTTGTTCAGAATGCTCTCAATTAAATGGTAAGGGCCCAAGCAGGAAGTGAGTTTGTTCCCCAAAGTTTTATGGCCATTCAGCTATCTGATCCCGATTTAAAATAGGCCCTCAGAGTTCTTTGTATGTTATCTATTGTTTGATCTTTACTGCCTGATAATGGTTAATGAACTTTACATGTATTCATGTGCAAAAGGTACCTAATGAAAGCCCTTTGAGGAAGAGGCTCTTGGCCCTTCTCCTTTGAGAGATCCTCCACCTTTCTTCCCCAAGCAGATCATGTCTTGGTAGACTTATTCTCATGGATGGCAGACGGGGGTCTCTGCGGACAAAGCTCCCACACACATTTTTATTTGTTTGTTGTTTTTCATGGGTATTAGTTTCACACGACATTCAGTGAGTGAATATTCCTTCTGCCATTTCCTGAAGATACATGCAATTTCTGTGCATTATACTTCTTAGAGGGTTCTGGGAAGTAGGACACATAGTTGGTGGATTTTTATCCTCCAAAAGCTGGCATGTGATGGGATCCAGGCCTATTTTTCTAAGGAGTAATGGGAAACCCATCTAATGTGTTGAGATAAAACTAAAGCAAAGGGAAAAGCATAAATATTCCTCCACCCTTTAATGGCCTTTACCACTTTCCAACTACAGCCTTTGAACATGCTCGTACTTACAAATTAAACATACCACATATATCTTAGGTGCATATATATGTTACATACACCACACACATATATGAGATGCCCAAAAGTTGTGGTTTGAATGTAGGACCATGATAGGAATTGCTTTGAATCTGTAGATAGCTTTGGATAGTGTA